CAGGAAAAAAAAAAAAAAAAAATCGGTTTCATCTTCTCTTGTGTCTTGTAGCTGGTCCCTCCAGCACGGTCTGCATCTGTCAGGATCTGTGCCCTGGGAGCACTAATCATTTTTATTAACCATTAAACAAGAAGATCCTTTTTATTTGAAAATGTAAAACATGCAGGAAGCACTATCTATAGCCGCTAATTCAGCTCACATTAAATGGCTCTTCCTCACCTCTCAGCTCATCCCTGTTCTGCTGAAAGCTCCTCACCGTAAAACCCACTGCTGCCCCTCTTCCCGGTCAGGGGTGATGGTCTGTCGCGTGCAGTTGCATTTAGAAGCCAGATTTTATCCTGAATAATTGCACTTCATTTCTGAGTGACCCGATGTAAAGCAAGCCCCTTTTAAAGCGTCTTTCATGGCAAGTTTATGAGGTGTTACTACATTTTCTTAACATTTTTCACCTTCCAATCGTTTTTATTTCATGCTGGGGTGGTGACTGGTGAAGGTGCTGTGACCCCTGAAAAGCGAGCCGGAGGATGGCAGTAGCCAGGGTCACGTCTGCGAGCATGGGGTTTGGTCACTGGTGGGATGAAACCCCACTCCCACCACCCTCATCCCGCCTCGCCCCGTGCAGCCCTGCTGGGCTGCAGCCGCCCAGGATTAACAGTTAAGGGAAACTCAAATGGGAGTGGGACCTGAAAGCAACAGGAAAAAGGCTGGTACCGGGGGGTGGGGGGTCTGCTCTTCCTAAGCTGAGCAAAACGGGCCTCACGTTTTATTTACAAAGCTGTGGCTGATGCCACCTAGTTAGCATTATAGAACAGATTCCTCACATGCTTTTTTATTATGCAGCTTGGCGGCTGCTGTGTGAGACTGCGGAATATTTTACTGCTTTGTGGCTCGCATTCAATATGGCAAAAAAAAGGAAAAGTTGACAAAAATCCTGTGGGTTTTTTTTTTTTTAAATGCATCTTTGTTTTCAACAGCCCTCCTGCTGTGACAAAACTGTTAATTAAACTGAAACTAAAATAAATTAAGCCCACCTAATATGAAAAGCATTTTGAAGGCAAAGCCCCTCCTGCCTGCCGTGCTGGCAGAGGCTGCTTTGGTGGCACTGGCAGGGCACATGAGACTTTTGGCTCATGTCAAACAGAGCGCAATTTAACAGGCTCAGTTAGCTGGGTTATGGCCCATCCAGACCAGAACTATAGATAAAATATTATTACCATTAATAGAATGGCTCTAAAGACCTAATGGTAATGGCCAGTGTATCTCCATCTACCTTTAAGTCCAGTTACTGATTAGTCTGGAGGGAAAACCAGCCACCAGCACCACCAGACCGGGGCATTCATGCAGGATCTGACATCTGCAAACACCTTGCAACCAACCCCTCAGCCCCGTCCCCAGCCTGGCCTCGTACCTATAAATAAAAGAAAGGGCAGTCCTGGCCGAGGCACGGTGCCTACTTTGATGTGCGGTAATGAACTTCGCTTCTAATTCGGGGTTGTAACTTCCATCCCAATGCAAAACCGGGAGCTGCGGAAAAAGCTGCATACATAATAAGGGGTGAAAGCAAGGATGCGGCACGAGATGTGTCTGATGTTGGATGAGAGGGAAGATAGCCTTTAATCATTTTGTTTTCAAAGAAGCTTTAGAGAGCTCTTTGAAGATGAGGCTTTTCGAGAGCTGCTTCTGGAAAATAGGAGGCAGCGATAGACGGCACCCACCTTCTGCCCACGTCCCCCCACCCCTTCGGTTAACCTGGCAGGGGCCGTACACACACCACATCCCTGCCTTCAGCACGTGGGCCTCTGCCCGGGCACCCAGGAGACTTCTGCAAAGCTGAGCTGAGCTAGTGCTGCCGGGGCGCTGAGACCCCGCTGGCTATAGCAGCAAAGAAAAACCACCCCGATGTCTTTTTGTTTGAGCTAATATCATGGCTGCTCAGCATGCAAGGCAGGCAAGCTAAGGGGGCCAGCAGCTAGAATAGGATGTCCAGCCCCCCCCTTTATTAATTATAGTATTTTTGTAATGATAACTTTCTGTAAATTATGTCTTACTATCATTGGATGAAAGGGAATGATAATGAACATGTGATCAGACTTGATTTTAAGGAAAAGCATCATGCTGGAGAGGTGTGGAAGTTGTGCCTGTCCTGTAGTGCAGCATTCAGGGTGGGACAAGGCAAGAGTCGTGTGTCACCCACCCGGTGCAGTCAGGCTGTATGGTACCTACATGGGCACCTTCTCTATGGGCTGGGCTCCGCCACCTGCATCCAGAGGCACCGAGGGCTTGAACATCATCTGAACATCCCAGACTGGGGAGGGTGGGTGAGCTCTGCTCACCAGCACTCAGCGCGTGCCCATGGTGACCCTGGCTTTATTTTGAGGACTGAGGTCAGGATGCTGTTGTGTTAAATGCATCACATCATACAAAATAAGCACACGGCTTCTTGCTCCAAAAACGTTACAGGCTGAGAAGAAAAGCCCTGAGGAACAGGTGTGTCAGCAATCCTATTTTTACCTATTTTTACCAAGTGGTTTGGCCTCAATAAAGTAATAGCCAGGCTGGCAAGTGACAACAGGCTGTTGGAACGTTGGTGGCGTGCATTGCCTCTAAGCAATTGCCCTGAGTGTGCTATTACTGGTCTTGTCAGTGGCTTTGTACATCTAGGTCTTCTCTTGTGTGGTTTATAAAGTAAGTGTGTGCTGCTATTTGAGGTTATTTACAGATGCCACAGTGCCATGACAAAACAGCCTATGAAAGAGGTGTCGCCCGCCCCCCGCATAAGGACCAAGCCCACACCCACTGGCATTGCAGGGGGCCTCACTCTTGTTGCTGTAAGGGAGCCCTGAGAAGCGAAGGAACAGCAGCACATCAGCAGCCCTCCGCGTGAGTCCGGGTGGAGGAGCTGGGCTCTGCCCCTGTGCATGGCACTACCCTCACTGCCGAGGCTTCGCCCAGCCCACCTCCCTTCTTTTTGTGAAGTTAAACTGCACAAAGATTGTCACATCTCAAGTTCCGGCCAGCGCGCGGCTCTAACAAATGCACTTTCCAGTCCCTTCAGAAAAGGAAAAAGCAACCCCAAATCCACATGTCCAAATTTGCTGCTGCATTTGGTACAAGTTCTGCAAATGCTTTCTGTAGCAATCTCCATTCCTGTATGTACCACCCCAGGACACTATTATTTCAGACTGTGTGCCCATACCAGCATGTTGAAGGTTAAGTTTGAAAGGCCCCGAGAGGTCTAACGTTCGGTGGGCCTGCCCTCTGTGCATTAAAACCAACATCACTTTCCCCCTCTGCCCTCCTGTCTGCAGCAGGTACTTAAAAACTGGCCTTATTTTCGGAGGTGTGAAGGCTTCGTGACAGGCACTGCAGCTGGGGATGCGGCTAATAACACCTTGCAAACACAGGCTGTTTAGGGATTACGTGTGGTGTAGCATGGTAAAAGCAAGGCAAATAACTTTGGGAAGTTTAGGACTAGTGTGTCAGACTCCTATTTTCACTTCTAGGCGATGCTATGCTATTTTAGGCCTGGCCAAGCCTTGTCTTTTTTTAATTAGGTTTATTGCTATAGCTACATGGTGGTGTGTATGTGTTAACATTTGATTTTTGTATCTATCTAATGTAAGTGACTGAAATAAACAATCCAGATCTGATAGTCCCAGTGGGGGGACTGACATTTGGATTTGGCTCAAAAATCTGTGCGTTTGACGCTCGTTAGACTCCAGCACCTCACTCAGAAAGTACAAAGCATGGGCCTGGCGAGGGGCTGCAGGGTAGAGCTACGTTTGCCACATCCAACCTAATCCTCAACCCCACGCTGAAGTGTTCCTCGGAGGTGCTCGCTGCCATTGCCACGTCGGGTTTCACTGATGGAGCATTATAATGCCGCTTAGGTGTCAGTTTAATTAACAGAGCTTGCAAAGTCTCCCCAGAAAGGATCTTGTGCCACCAAACCTGTACAGCCCAGCGCTCCTGTGCCTGGGTTGCCCTCCATGTCGTACCACCCCTGCTGACCCTGTGTGTGGGAGACAAAACCAGCAAGGACTGGGACAGAGAGTATTTTACAGTGGGTTTGAGCACAGAAACGTCCCTGTAGTCCAGGATCATGCCTGCTCGCTGCCTCTCTGCTGCGCACTCCTACTCTGCACCACACTCTTCTAATCGGCAAAGAAGCCTTGACGATCGGCGAGCGGGGGGCAAGGGCTGAGGAGCAGGGAGCCCCCCCCACCTCGCCCCAGCCCACGGCTCCGGGAAGCAGATGGTCCCTGCAGGGCCACCACGTGCCATCGTCTGCCCCGCTGCCTGCAAAAGCACCGCACTCCCACTCCCATCAATCAGCACAGACCAGGTGCCTGGAAGCATCTCTTGCCAATCGCCTTTTATTACCTTTAAAAAGCCAAGAAACCCAGAACAAGACAAAAACTGAGAGCGTGTGAACATCATGCAATGGATTCACTTTAAAGCAGGCTGGGAGGGGTGGGGGAGGAGACCAAAAGCCATGTTAGAGTAGAAGTATTGCTTCACCCGTGTCTGAAAGCCAGATTGGGTGGACTGTCACCGGTGGGGTGGTGGTGACTGTTGTGAGTGATCAGACCGATGCTGAAGCAGGAAATGGAAACACACTCATGGGCCACCATCCCAGGTAAGCCCAGATCTGATGCTGCCCCAAATGCAATTTCTTATGTGGTGATGACAGTGAGAAATACTCCTAACTCTTGTCACGGGTACTTTCTGCCTAGGCAGAGTCTCTTTGGAAAGGAGCGGCACAAGGAATACTGTTACAAGAGGTTTCTTAGTACGGTTATGTTACTTAGTGTGACTAGTACTCCACTAGTCAATTAGTGGAGTTGATGTCGGCCAGCAGGAGTGAAGTTACCACACTCTGCCCTTCAGTCTCACTCTGTCGTCTTCAAAATTCATAGCACAAACAACTACAGTAATATTAGCTTCTTGAAAGAATGTGTTTTGGAGAGTTTCAGCTACCATGGAAATAACTTTGCATCTTGTCCATCATGTGGATGTGACAAAACACATGCCCTTATTTTCCTGAGCTATAGCCAACATTTGAGTTCATTACATTTAATGGAGTAGGGTCACCCATAAAGTTATTCATAAGGTATTTTCTGAGTGGTTTTCACCTTCTCTTTGAAAAAATAAATTATATCAGCGTGTTCACGAGGTACAAATGGTGCTGGCATTTCAGCTGTTATTATGTTATTAACTTTTTTAACCTAATAATTTTCAATCAACAGTAAGAAGCAATTTTCACCCACTCCAGTGACCAGAGTTGGAGATTCTGAAAACCGTTCTTGTAGGGTTCACCTTGACAGACACCTAATTCCCTCCCAAATCGAAACATCACCCCCAACACTCTCATCATGGTTACCGAGAATTTCCATTTCCCCTTCGGTTAGAATTTAATTTAGAAGGCAAAGACTTCCTAAGCTATGGGAGAGTAAAGATAGATGGTATGGGAGAAGGCAGCTGATGAAATGTAGTTGACTCCGGATCTGAAATATTTTATCCCTCCTCAATGTAGGTTAAATTATTCTTCACCTTTCCCACATCCATAATTGTCGCTGATCTTGGACCAACTCAAAACCCTACTACTGAGTTCAGTAGACTCAAAATTGCCACTAGAACTGGAAAAAGAAAAAAAAAAAGAAGAGATTTGTTAGTGTCCACATACAATATCCCAAGACTCTACACAGCTATGAGATACAGCAAATTTAAGAAAGGCAATTTTTTTCTCATCACTGAGTATTTATTATATATAACAAATACATGAAAAAGAAAAAACTATATTGTGTGATATAAATAGTTTATTTACATTACAGAAAAACATCAAGACAATGTATACTATTTCAAATATATCCATACATAATCAAATATAGCTGTAGTACATGTTCTCATTGGTGTAGATTACCACAAATGCAAGGCAACATGTGTAGATCTTGTCTTAATCTTTTGTCTATAATACTGTATTTTGTAGTCCAAGCTCTCTGCAGTTAGTTTTGCCATTGTGGAAACATGCGCTCTTTAAATTAACCTTGTCGATGCTCTTGTTGTGTTGTCTGAACTGTAGTGCCCTGTGTTTTGCTTCTGTCTGTGGATTCTGTTGCTCCTGGGACATTTCCTGGAAAAGAGAGTTGTGAGAATACACGGCTCTTAACAACGCGTCTGCTCGAGAGGTGGCATGGGTGGCAGGGGACGCGAGGGCGAGCGAGGCATCCTCTGGCCCTTGGCGCGTCTCCTCTTCAATGAAATGAAATGGGCTGGCTAATGCCAACAGTACCGCAAAAAACCCCACAAACCCCACAAAACATACTGTAAACAAAAATACAAAAATACAAAAAGGGAAATTTTAAGACTCCTGCTCCTTACTGGTGAGCAGTGGTGACTCTGCTGCATCGCAACAGCCCCAACTGCACCACATCTCCCATCTTTAAACACCGGATTTATTTTCAGCGAGGCGCAGGTGGAAGATTTAAGACAGTCTCATGCTCACCTGTTCGGCGTCCCAGGTCTGTGAAGTATTTACAAAGTGGATGCGGGGGCTGCCTTTCTGAGAAGCTAAGCGTCCGCAGTCCCTATTAGTCTCCATGGAAATGCTCCATGCTCAGCTCATTAGCGAGCAGCTACTTTACTTACGGGTGCCTGCACCGCACTACGCTCCTCACACGGCTGCTCGACTTAGTGTGGAAAGTAATCGCACTGGAAAGACCAAAATCTTATTTTCCTTTGGATGGCTGCGAAAGCAAATCTCTTCTGCCTCAGGACCTCACAGTGCTCCTCAGCAAGGGCACGTTTCAAGCTTTTACCTGCAGCAGCGTCAGCTATGGGGATGCTACAAAGCGTTTCCCCCTAACGGAAAGGTAATAGCGTGTTTCTGGCTTCCTCTCATGGAAAGGCACCCTTAGACAGAAAGCATGGAGAAGTTTAGCCCCAGGTGGAGGCCACAGGAGGTTCTAAGCAGCTGAAAGCCAAGGGGGTTACAGCAGAAACTGTTGGGCAAGCAGAACCACAGCAGGGTGACCAACACCCACTAAAAATGCTCATGATTTTTAGCATTTGTGGTACCAGTAGGAAAATGGTGAGCACAGAAAAACAACCAGCAATAAAAATGGTCCTTTACCCAGGGTGATCTAGTCAACATTTTGCACAGGAGGAGGAACAAGCTATTCCTAATTCGGCCACGCGTTTGTCCTCTTTCTTCAGCTGAAGCTCAGCACAAATTTTTAGCCCGGGTGCGCTTCACTCTGCCCTCCGTGTGGGCAGCTACATAAGAAAGTCTGAAACACTCTCTTGGAGTGGCATGACAGAAAGCCCCACGATACTCCAGACCATACCGACACAGGAAAAAATTCCCTTTGTATTGGGCAAAAACTTGTTTTCCTGTGACAGAAAGGCTTTCAGCAGCACCTTGTGAAACTCTACGGGTCATGCATCGGACAGAGCTCACCCTCTCAGTGCTGTGTCAAATCACTAACAGCAAAATAGAGTGAAATAAATTGTTACTAATCCCTTAAAATGAAAAAGGCCATTTATTGTCCTTTTGAATGGGAGTGATGCTATAGTTCTGTGACGTCAGCTGACAGGCTAAACAAGAGCATAAGGACTTTTGAAGCATTTCAAAATGCTGAAATACAATTATATAAGTGTCTAACAAAATATGGGTCAGATTGTCCTGACTTGCCTCACTTTTAAGCCAACAGGACCACCCCCTCATGAGAAACTGTATGGCTGTGCGCTATATTTTGCCTCGTTCCTTTCTTAGAAGCAGTAAAGTAGGCTGCTATCATTACTCCAGGAAAAATAAGCCTGCACCTCCAGCGCTCTCAGAGGTCACGGCAAAGCTTTCATTATGAAACTAATGCAGACTTTAGCTGGTTTGCGATTTCATGACAAACTCATAATTCACTGCGTGTTCCTAAAAAGGCGATCAAACTTTCTGAGTGAGTCAGGGAGCCGCTGTTAGCAAACACAGGGCTGATTCACTGAGCCGCGTGTCATGTGCACGCTGCCAGCCTCCCAGCCCCGACTGTCCCCAGGCGGCCTCTCCTGCCCATTCAGCCGGAGACCGCACAGCAGGACCTCGCAGCGCTCCACGGGAGGCAGCACCGACTGAGCTACCAGGGGTTCCTCCCGAGTCCCAGAGGATGAGGATTTGCAGAAGAAGCACAGCCCTGCTTTGCCCCAGTGCTCAGCCAAGCAAAGCGGAGTTAGGGAACCACAGTGGGCACAACCGGACTGGTTTTGTAAGAAACGTGGAGGTACCAGGTGGCTGGGGGATGCCCAGGATGGTCAGCAATCCCAGAGGATGCAGACGTGCATTCCCAGAGAATGGTGGATACTGACTGCTCCAGCTGCAAGCAAGGAGGTGTGCATCTCACAGGTGCTTTCCCAAAACCAACACTGACAGTATCTATACAGTCACTTAGTCCAAGGTTGAGAGAAATCAATTCAAACTTAGAGATTACTACAAATAAGAGGATGAAAAAGCATCTCTTAACCAAAAATGCCCATGTTTTAATTACATAATACAGTACGCTACCAATTGATGGAAGCCTGGAAAGGCTCCAGGGCCAAGTACTGACGCTATAACTGCTAAAATGCAATGCTATTGCATTTACAGGTAGGCTGTGTCTGAAGTGCATCTGAATTTCCTAGGAGGGGCGTTGGCATTTAACCAGTTTTTTAGACTTAATCATTTGCTAAAATTGAATGACAGCTTTTTCTTGGTCCATAACTCTTTAATCAAAAGTTCTTTGTAGTGCTCTGTGTGTGGGATTCATTCATTTATGAACACAGCAGTTATATCAATGTAAACTAGGTACTGGAGCACAGGCTGCCTGCCCTCCCTCCATTGAAGCTTCCTCGCAAGCTTGAGTTACTCACAATGTGATTCATAGCAGGTAAAACACATTATGCATTCATTTTTAATCAAGTTATTTCTCCACATAAATAAGCTGCTGTGACTAAACATTAGGGAAGCACTAAAAATGCAAAGCTGTAAAGAAAACTGCTGAGAATCATTATGACACTAGGCCATACCTATATTATTTACCATCCTCCTTCACTTTTATCATTGCTTCTCTTTTGCCTTACCCCTGAGCTAAAAGTCCTTGGGCATAGGGACTGTGCCTTGCTGCTGCACCTCCTTCCCCTCACACCTCTTGGCCTCTGGTCCCCTTCTCTTCCACCCTAGCTGCTTATTCCCATCGCTGGCACTAGCCGTGACTAGCCAGGTGGCCAACCTCATCAAGGAATCAAGCTGCTTAAAAACTAATCATCAGTTTTGTTGGTTGAGTTTTCAGCTGAACCTGTCCCCGACCGGGTTCATTGTGTGGCTACACAAATGCTCATGGTGGCACAAGAGCGCTGGCAGGACCAAGTGCCCAGGGGCCAGGGGAAGGGCAGCCCACCCCCGTCAGCAGCACAGCTCATTTATCCAGATTAAAGTGGCTGTGCAACAATGGCCCTGAAAGTGCCTGGGAAGTGCTCAGAGCCTTCCAGCAATGGAAGACATCCCATAGATTTGCACCACTGTACAGGTATGATTTTAAGAGGAACAACAGTAATGACAGCTAAAAGATTTACAATGGTAGTCTTATGAAGCCCGAATGCAGGGTTTGGACACAGTGCACCACTCATTTGATAAATTAATTAGGTGAAGGTGCACTGAAATGAGCAGCAAATAATTTGGCCGCAGCGGCCTCTGAGTAAAGTTGCCCTTCCTTCTCCTAGGAACCTGGTAGGGTGGCTTTAGTGCTTTCAAGGGTTCAGGGTGCAGAGTTCAAACCAGTATAGTCAGGTTCTCCAAAGCAGATGACTTCAAAACCTCAATTACTTATGCATATGCTGCCACAAGGCTCTCTTGTCATGTGGATTTCTCTTAGACCACTTAAGAGTACACTTTTGCAAATGGATCTTGAATCATTATGCTGGGATGGAGGATGCTCTGCAGTAATTACATACATTACAGAAAAAGTCAAAAGATCATATTAACGTGGTTACAAAGTGTGCGGGAAAAGGTACCATCTATGTATGAAACCAGCGTGATGGGTAATTTGCATTACAGTACCACATCACTCGGAGCACGCTGTCTTCATTCTTCAATATAAAGTACTCTGCGTTACTGCGTCAAGGTGACAAAACTAGAGTCACTCGACAAAATGATACAGAGCATTTGTTCCATTATCAGTTACTACACCATCTTCTTTTTCTTACTACACATTACACCTTTGGTTCTTTGAATTACTTCCGTGAATATCACCACAATATACTCTATTGCCTCATCTGGCATTTACCATTGAGTTGATGGACTGAGCCTGGCCAAAAAGGTAGCTAAGTTTCACCAGATGGTTTTGGTTTATGCTGTTAGGCCAGAGAAGGACTTAGGACTTTTTTTTTTTTTTTGGTCTTTTCTCAAACAAATACTACACTTGTCTTCCAATCAGGTAGTGCAACATAGGGACTGAGATATATTTGAGGTTTTATTTTCTGCAGAGGTATGATACCTGGCTTTTATCTTTTTGTCTTTTTAAAAGAAATGTATTTCTAAAGGAGTGATTTATCAGTGTTGCTAGCTGAGTGAATTTAACCTCGTGATTTCTGAGAGAAGCCTGAAGATGCCTGAAGTTCAGAATTTACCCCAAGCCCTCCCAGAGAGAGTAACACAGTTCAGTAGGGAAATAGAACAGCACGTGTAGGAGGGGAAGGATTGCATTAACCCCTCTTGTTCTGAGGGGCTGTCATTTCCATTCAAACCACCCTTTCCTCATTAAAGAAAAAAAAAAAATCGTATATGGCTTGGTGTGTCACCATCTAGTGAAGACCTTAAACATGTGCGGTACCTTTGAACATCTATACAAGCCTAATGAAATCATTTAATCAATGGGGTTGCAAACAGGCTTAAAAGTTTGCATGCTTTGCCTGATTAGGACTAAGGGAATGGGCCCTTGAGGAAGCCAGATGGAGATATGATTAGTTTTATTAAGTGTTGATCCAGCTGCTGTATTTATATTCCCCTTATTTATATGAACAATATTTGTCCAAGCATCTGAATACAAAATAGGAAACTTCATTTGCTGTAGGCACTGTTGCTACCTAAGTTTGATTAAGATGGAAGTAAAAATTCAGTCATAATAATGAAGCAGCACTGGCTGGCTGGACCAGACACTATCTTCTGTTTGTGGGTGAATTAAACAGCAGTTGTTATCAGTAGTGTCACTGCAGAAATCTGTATAATCAGCGCACAAAGTAGGAAAAACAAAAGTCTTTTCTTTTTCTATTGCAAAGTACCAGAGATACTGACCTTGTAATACAGAGGACTACAACACAGATGATAGCAATCTGGATGGTTCCAATCACAGCTGCTATTAAGACATACTGAAATCGTACTGGACCTGGAACCACGTATAAAACGCTGTAGTCCTTTTTTTCACAGTGTTGTCCAGTATAGCCGGCATCACATCTGAAATAAAAAAATATTTTTCGCAGTTATACTTGCTCCTTTAAAAGAATGCAAAAAAAAAATTATATCTGAAAAAAAAAAAATCAGTAGCCTAGGCATAAGCTTATGTGTTTTTTTGCAGGATGGGCCCCCGCCAGAGACAGCACCTCTCAGAGGGAAGACTTCAGGTCCTCAGTGTCACCACGGTCTGCAAGAGTGAACAGCACTGCGATAGTGCCAGGAGGTGCCCAGGGACTGGGACTCATCTAGCATCAAGTGCAGCCACTCGTACGTTGTGATGAGAATCCATTTAGTTCCTTGCACAACATATTTTAGATCTCTTTCTTTGGGAGGTGGGGGAGGGTGAAAAGCCATCTAGTTGTGGCTCCTTATGCAGATTACCCCTAAGGAGGTGATAAGCAATCATCCAAGCTCCATATGAAACGTGATTAGATGTTCCTGCAAGTGGATACATCATTTACATTTTGTCTGGTTGCTATAAAAAACCCCTCTGTTGATGCTCCAACCATCCACCCCAATGCCGCCTGCTGTGCTGCTCACCAGTTCCCCTCCTGCAGCCTGACATCTCCCTTCTGTGATTTTGGGGGACAAATAGTGATTTTCCCATTTTAGCTCTTGCCCTGTTTCTCCTAAAAAGCCCCAGCAACAAGATGCAAAAATGGCAGTAGCAGCCACAAGAGACTGCGCCAGATTGCTTGGGCTCCTCTCAGAAGTGTTGGGGGGGCACTGACCCTGATGGGTTAAGCCTTGGGCTTCCACCCTTTTCGTCTCCTGCATTCCCACAGCAGCCAGCAGCTTGAGGAAAGGACATTTTTCCAGCTGAATGGAGAACCTAAACCACAGCAGCTGCAAAGAGCAAAACATGCCCTGGCTGCTTGTGAGAGCTGGGAGAAGCTGCCTTGAGGTTCTGCCCTGGGGGATAAGTCTGGTCCGTATCTTTGCTCTCTCAGGCCGCTGGTTGGACTTCAGAAGTAATATCCCCACCTCTGCAGGGAGGCGTTCACCGCAGAAACGAGCTTTCGCTATTATGGCTCCTCCCTGCCCTGCCCTCCTCCAAAGCCACCTCCCGCAAGAAGGAGCCACCTTTGCCCAAGCTCGCTGCCCCATGAGCATCACTCCTGCCACAGCAGGGATGCATCCCTGGTGTCTCGCCTCCTCGAGACTGAGAAGGCTACCTAGTGGCTGTCTGAGCCCTTTGTGAAGTGCTTTTCAAAATATATCTAAATGTAGCTGAAAGTTACTGAATGTTTTTATAATCAAATAACATTGTGCATAACTCAATACACTTTTGCCACATAAAATGGGGACTTTGTTGAATAATTTAAGTCTAATGGGTTTTGTAGCGTAAAGGGCCATGGTTACCGTTCTTTTCCACAGTTTGTCTAGATTAAGTGTTTTTGTATGTCAATCTTTTCATGTGTGTAGCCTTTCCTCCTTGGTAGAAGAAGAGTTACCTGCAAGACGGTTCCAGCATATTAGTGGAGTGCTCACACTTGCCGTGCATGCAGAAGCCATTGTAATGCTCTGGACAAGGGATGTAGATCCCTCTTGCACTTTCTTCCAGTTTATTTGCATTCTCTGTGAACACAGGTGAAGGGAACATTAACCTGACAATGCAGGACAACATGAAATGATGGAAAGAACTCAAAGTATAAAAAAAAAGGAAAAATCAGAAGGACAAGATGTGAAAGATGGGAAGCAATAGCAAGGGTGTGCACCTTGAAACAGGTAGGCCAATGTAGATGCAAAGCTTTGCAAGGTTTGCTGTCGTTCTTTTGCATATCTAATTTCTGTCAGAGATACCAGAAAAAATAATTTGACTATTCAAAAACTGATTACAGAACAGCACATGAAAAATGCCTGATCATTTCTGTTACCCTCTACAGACTGTCTCCTTGCACCCAGGCAAGGCTAGGAGGAAGACTCTGGATATTTGCATGCAATATACCATTACAATATATTTGGTGATTCAATACAATGTATTCAGAAACGTAATTTTATGGCTTAAGTAGAAGAGCAGGAGTCCAGAGCTGAAGTTTATCATCAGTGCTGCACACCTGTACCCCAGAGCCTGCTGGCCTCCTCCCCGTCCCACAGCACGGGAACCTTTAAACTAGTTTGACTTTCTGTGCCTGTTAAATAGTCGCTGAGACTGCAAATCCTGGAAAATCTTTCCCTCCATGTATCCAGGAAAATGGAGGCTTCGTTTAGTTTTGAAACAGGTATGTGCTCAACACTTACATCATGGGCTGAAATGCAGAGTGTTACTTGCAATAAACTCATGTGAATTTTGCAGGCCACCGAGCTGTTAATTAATCTGGGTAATTCGGGCAAATCCTTCCATTTAACCAATACTTATGATATCTCTAATGGTAGAAATTCTTTTTCTGTGATAGTATCATCTAGCCACAATTAATTAAAAACAGAAGAAAAAAAATCTCATGATAGATGTCTGAGGAAACGTAGTTTGCACACAAATAAGTTGAAGCATTTGTGTCTTCCAAAGGAAGTCCCCAAGTGTTACGAAACAATTGCAATTTGTGTTCTGCCTCCAAGCCAGTCATGACGGCAGTTGGTATGCTTAGGTATTATCCCACCTTTGGGAAAAGTGTGTGCGGCAGATCCAAGATTCAGATTTTCATAATGAATTTCATTCCTGTCACTGCTGTCCAAGAGTTTTAAGAGTCTCTCACAACTTGCACTAGTAAAGTTGGTTATATTGTCCTTATGTTAAAACAGGCGAGGACAAACTCTCAGCAACCGAGAATGACAAGTCAACCTCTACATCCCTCTAGACAACATTAACATCTCTTTCGCTGTTAGGACTGTCAGGACATTTCAGCATAAGTGCTAAATTCTCTTCTTGGGAAAGATGAAGAGAACAGGGATGAAGAGATGGGAGGCAGCAATACCAGACTTATGTCACAGCCCCAGCTCTGTTTTCTAAACCTCAGGAAAAAAATTGCAGCAAACATGAATGCACAGCCTATGAAGTCATAAACCTAACAAACAGTATTTAAATTCCATCTTTTTTATTAAAGAGAGGAAATTTCATTCACGTGCTTCCACGAGATACCCCAGCCTGCAGGTCCCCAGAGAGGTACAACTGGCACTGAACTAAGTGGCACTGGACTACTTGCCAGATAGTCAGCTTTCTGTCAGCTACCTCTGCACTACGGACCACTACTGCATCTTTTCAAACGCATGTACACTGAACACAAACCTGCCTGCCTCTCCTGGTTCCCTGCTTACGTCGGGATATCTGTGCGAGGCGCCATGAGGGCTGTTAATGACAATGCAGCGCAGAAGAGGGCATCAGGTGCAGTGACGATTCCTGGGCTTGGGGCTGACGGCTGTCTCTGGGACGGCACAGGCAGGGCAGGATGACAGGAGGCATGCTGTAGGTGTGGCATAACCTCCTTTGAGAGCTTGCCCAGGAATTTCTGCTACTGGGAAGAGCTGGGAGTAGAAGGTCCCTTTGGTCTGGCACTAAACATTTTGGCTACCTATCACCCTCTAGGTGAGGCACTGGCTACCAGCATGTGAAATATATGCATAGAGTTATTATCCCACCAGGACTCATGTACATTCCTTTTTCCACCTGGAAATCTTCCTGGAACAGAACATATGCCAGCCCAGTGCACACAAGTAGATCCTGAAGTGCTCAGGACTTGTTGAACTCCACACACATGCAGTGATCATCTGTGCACCACGCCGATGGCTTCTGGGTGTGCTGGACCTCTGCTATGGTCCACATTCAAATATATGTCTGTCCTGAAAACTGTAGCAAGAAATACAAGATCCTTATTAATACACATTTTTTCTTTTGTGGAAAATATTATGCTGTTTCCTTCATCTGTTCCATTAGTGGGAGTCTGCTTCCTTTCTGAAGAACAGGAGATGGGGGGGTGTGTGTGTCTATATATCTCCAATCATTCCTCCTCAGGTACCAAGACATCTCTGCGACGTCCGTGCGCCACCACCAACCAGCTTGAGAATCCCTCCTCTCTCAGATGAGCCAGCAGTGTTGCTAAAATGGTAGGATACCATTTGGTTTCTTTTTTTTTTTAAGGCATACTTCCAGATGGTGAGGGAAATAGTTACTTTTAGGACAGACTAATCCGCTAGGACGTGAAAGGGGGACCAGGACCTCTCCCAGACTTGCAGATGTTCTCACTGTGTGTAGGCTGTAGGGCTGGTAAAAAGAGGAATGATTTCTCCTCTTCCTGCAATCATGTGGGTAGAAACCGTGTTTTCTTTAAAAAAGGTCTCTAGCATACTTTAAAGTAAATCTAGGATCCTGCAGAACTTGTAATTACACCTCTAAGTGTAATGTTATGATGAAAAAGGCTTTACTGAATCAAAAATGAGATGGCCCAAGCTTTGCTAGCACTTATAGGATAAATGCTTGTCATCTGGCTAGGAAGAGACCACAAAACTTAAGACACGGATTGTATGTAGTTCTTCATTTTGACTAATGCCTCCTCTAAAAGAGTTAGGGATTGAACATTAGGGATTGAACATAAAGGCAGACAGGGGGGAAAAAAAAAACTTGGTTTTAGTTTGATCTGCCATTTTGGTCGTTCAAAAGACAGACCACGATAAAAGCATCACTTAGCTCAGACTAAGAAGTTCCCCTCTTCCAGCACATTTTGAATTCACCCAAAAGATTTCCCTGCCTCAAAACAGGTTATTTTTCTCATTACATAAAACATCTCTTCAGATTCAAAATAGAGACCCAAGCACCAAGATAAGATATGCTTTAAAAGTATGTTAAAACTGACTGCTCTCATTTCTGAAGGATCTGAGCACTTTTCAGTAATCCAGCCGATGAGATACTAACTCTCATGAATGCATCAGAAGGTTTACGTCACTATGAAACAAGAACTATAAATCATTTCTAAAAAGAGAGGATATGAATAAAAAAAACATAGAATGTTTAAATTATGAAGGAAATAAGAACTGTACAAAGTTTTAAAAAAAATTAAGCTAAATGAAATAAATTAAGACTTCCCCCCTTATTATAATTTTGGATTATTTATAAATTCAGTCCTGGAGGCAATCCACACAAATCAGATTATAGTATCGCTAAACTAAGGAGCCCCTTCACCACAGGAACCTCACGCCTACAGGGAGCAAAGCTTAAGTACAGAGTTACCACCTTTCCAAGCACAGCAGATCAGTATTCATCAAGCAAGGACACAGACCAAATTCAAAGTTACTCAGGTTTCAGTAATGTTAAATTCAGTAACTCCTCTTCAAACATTAGATTTGCTGCATTGTTATTGGCAACTATGCGCGAAAGTTTTATTTGCACCAAAAAGACAGATTTGTAACTTCTTGTGATGGCTAGAAGTTGAGACAGAAGCTGTAAAGCCGAAAGATAAAAATGGAACTGACTGGGTCAGTCTCTCCTATCTCTGGACAAACGTAATTCCTACCACATTTCTCAAAATGCTTCTCCTTTTTATTTTAAAAAGAACTACAGCCTCACCCTTCAGATCAACTGTATTCACAGATCTTTTTCTCAAAGCATTTTTCTGATAGAAAACGCCACTTTGATGAAGCCAACATCTTTCGCATTTCTGCAACATTTTTTGCATCTTTAGCCTAACATGACATTTCATATTGTTCACATCTTTTGTTAGTGCCAGAACATGACATGATAGCCTATCATATAAGATATACTAGTCAAAACAGATTATTTTTAAATGCATTGAGGCCAGATGCTACTTTGTGTAGACTGAAACAGCTTATCATCTTGCTTACTGGAAGAGTCTCCCAGTTGAACACTTGCTCTCCAAGCTTTCTGTGGATGGCAGGGAGATGCTGAGACGATGAGCTATTTCGCTAGGGTAAGAAAACGGATCCTGAGAAGTTATCCAGTGTGACTGACCACCCACTCAGTGATCTTGCTTCTTCTGATGGATCATCTTCTGAAATGTTAAATAAATTATTTAAAGCTATCTTGTCTAAATTCCTTAATATCTGTGGCTGTTCCTGTCCTCCGTTAAGACGGAGTGGAAGAATAATTTCAAACATATTTTGTATTCTTTGAATTTCTGGTTTAGCTACATGTCTTTCCTTCTGTTTTTGGAAGCTGAATGTGTACCATTAGGATTCTGAGGTAAATATTTTAGTGAAGGTTGAAATTCAAAAGCCGAAACAGTCTGCCCGGTTGCAGGGCTCAACTCTGCAAGTGATGAAAACAACGCCAGATTGTTCTCTGGGCAGCCCTCGCCGGTCCCCAGCTCCTGTCTGAGCTAGCGTGGAGCTACTGTTACACAACTGAACATGTGGAGTAGTGCCGCTGACAAACTAATAAATCCATTAGTGCCCTTGATGAGGATTAGATGAAGTACCGCCTGGAGTGCCCAGAAAATTCTTTCCAGACAGAAGTTCATGCAATCCACTTTAGAGAAATTACATAAAATTCTAGGAAAAAATAGGATTCTTATGTCCAAAAATTGACTGCCAGGCACTTAACAATCAGTTCTGCAGGGCTGATAATTCTGTCACTCTTTATGTTTGAATCGGTGAGACTTTCTAGGTGATTTCAGGCAAGCAAAGTAGAGGGC